CCCAAGAGCCTGCACTTTTCCAGGCCAGTGCCTCCACTGCTGCCCTGGGCCTTGTCCCCACTCCAGCTACTCAGCGACACTCTGGGCATTCTTTCCCCTCTGCATGGTACATCATCCATTTTTCCCTGTCTATGACATTACCCCCATCTGTGCAGAAACATGCTATCCGTATTCACAAAAACTCCCTTGGCCCACATTCTCCTCCAGCAACTAACCCATGTTGCCACTTCCCTTTGTAGCAAATTTCCTCAAATAATTGCCCTCATTCAGGGTTTTCCCTTCTTTCTGGAACCTTCTCCATTTAGGTTTTTACCCCCATCCTCTCTGTGGAGCTGCTCTCTTGAGGTCACCAGGGACCCTCATATTGCTAAAACCAGCAATCAACCCTTAGCCATCTTCCCTGATCTGCCAGCAGCTTTTGACCTAAGGATCACTTCCTCTTCCCTGTGCACTTTCTGCCCTCATCCTCCAGACGCCAGGCTGCTCCTAGTTCCCTCCTGCCTCAGTAGAGCACCTCCTCGGGCACTTGGATGGCTCTGCTCAAATCCCCAGCCTCTTTGTGCTGGAGCAGCTGAGTCCCCTCTCCTCCCATCTATCCACATTCACTGCCTGGAGATGTCATTCAGCCTCATGGCTTGGGGCATCCTCTGTGCTGACAGCTCTCTAATCTGTGTTTCTACACTGTTACTCTTTCCTTCACTCCAGTCAGGCTCCTATCCAACTGCCTACTCAACGCTTTCATTCAGACGTGTACTTAACATCTGATATAGCCTGGATATTTGCGCCCTCGAACAGCACACTGAAATGTAATCTCCAGTGTTGCGGGGGGACCTGGAGATGTTTGAATCATGGGAATGGATCCCTCATGAATGGCTTGGCTCTCTCCTTGGGGTAATGAGTTTGGGTGCTATGGCTCACCCCTGTAATCCCAGCGCTTTGGGAGGCCAAGGTGGGTGGATCACTTGTGGTCAGGAGTTCAAAACCAGCCTGGCCAACATGATGAAACCCAGTCTCTACTAAAAATACAAAAATTAGTTGGATGTGGTGGCAGGCGCCTGTAATCCCAGCCACTTGGGAGACTGAGGCAGGAGAATTACTTGAACCTGGGAGGCAGAGGTTGCAGTGAGACGAGATCACGTCTAAGATCCCTTAGAATAGTGTCTGACACATAGTAGACATTCAATAAATTATTGAAAAGAAAGATGACTATGATGCTTTTTTAGTCAGCTAATTTCAACATACAATAAAATGCTCTTTGTCTCCATGCAGACATCCAGTTGAAAAACTTCATACATTCGGGCAGTTTGTAAAGTAGGCACAGGTTCTTTGACATTCTTTTCATCAAGAAGTAGAGTTATAGCCCTTGAATCTGGGTAAGATGTGACCATGGTGTGTGGTGGAAGTGACATGGTTTGTGTAACTTCTAAGGCTAGGTCAGAAAGGTGAGGCAGTCTCTGCCTGGTTCTCTGGCGACACTGGCTCTTTAGAATCTCCTATTTGAAACCCACCACCATGCTGAGAAGCCTAAGTCACAAGGAGACGCCACATGTACGTGTTCTGGTTAATAGAACCAGCCAAGCCCAGACTTCAAGTCATCCCAGCCCAGGGCCCAGACATGTGTTAAAGAAACCTGCAGGACTCTAGCCCTTCTGGCCTTCAAATCTACACAGCTGAGACTCCAGATATCACAGAGCAAGGACAAGACATCTTTGCTCAAATTCCTGACTCACAGAATCTGTGAGCTTAATAAAAATGTGTTGTTTTATGCCACTACATTTGGGGTGGTCTGTTCTGCAGCAATGGATAACTAAAACACGTCTTTATTTATTTTATTTTTCTTTTCTTTTTTTTTTTTTTAGACAGAATCTCGCTTTGTTGCCCAGGCTGGAGTGCAGTGGTGTGATCTCTGCTCACTGCAAACTCTGCCTCCCTGGTTCAAGTGATTCTTCTGCCTCAGTCTCCCGAGTAGCTGGGACTACAGACACATACCACTACACCCAGCTAATTTTTGTATTTTTAGTAGAGACAGGGTTTCACCATATTGGCCAAGCTGGTCTTGAACTCCTGACCTCATGATCCACCCGCCTCAGCCTCCCAAAGTCCTAGGATTACAGATGAGAGCCACCATGCCCGGGCAACAGAATATTTTCTTAAATAAACTTGGTTCAGGCCCCCACTCACTAAGGCTGTTAGGATATTCCATTTCAGTCCTGCTTTGGGGTGGGGTTTTTTTTCATCATGCTTGGGATGTAGAACAAGAACTTGAAATAATTTTTTGTCCTAATTACTTTGTGAGTCATCTGTCTTCAGCAGGAAGTCCGCTCCTCTTTTGAGGCAAACCCCGGGGCTCATCATTCACAAATGTTTATTGAAGCAAGCTGTATTCAGACCCAGAGGACACAGCAGGGAACCAAACGGAGCAAGTCCCTGACTGCCGGGAGCTTACCTGTTAGTGAAGCAGCCACATAGTAAATAAATCAACGACATTGACTAAGTTTGAAACCTTCTTAGTGGGATGGCTTTATTGCTAAATCTATTACTTTACCACACATCCTCTCATTGTACAAACCATGGGAATTCTTTGATATGCAAAGACTTCACAAAGGTAAACCAACAAGGAAGGATCATCCAACTCTTCTAAACTGAGGCATGTGTGTGTGCCTTGACTTACATTTCCTGTGCAGTGAAGCTTTGTTCTCACTTTGTGATTGGTCTTTGCTTCTCCTGACACCTGCATTACAAGTTTGCCTGCTTCGACACCTCTCTGCTATTTGGTTAATAATCTGAAAACCATTAGGACTGGAAATGCAGGAAGTCTTGGTATAATTTAAAGACCTATCACTAATGTGCACCTTTCCTTTTTTGGTTAATTTCGGTCTTTACCCATATAGTTATCATTTTTAATGTACTTGCAATCAAAGACACAGACAATAAAATTTAGGTCAACCTTAAACTGTGGTGGAAATGAAATTTCCTAAATTTGGTCCCTTCTCTCTCTCCTTTCATCTGTGTCCCAAATATCTGCATTTCCTCCATTCATTCCTCCCTTTCCTGCAAAGGGGTTAGATGAATTCAGGGGAATCACACAGCTTGGGGTTCCCCTGAGTTCCTCCTACCCCCAATATCTCTGAGCTCTCCACTTCCATTCGTATAATTCAAGCACCTCGTATGATACCTTCCCATTTAACAGGGAAAACAGCCCCTAGATTGTTGAGTCATGGAGGGGCATTCAGGGATGACTTGGTTCAGCCCCCTCATTTTGAAGCTGAGGACTAGAGAGATGGGGTGATTGGCCCAAGGTCAGCAGAATCTAGAAGCTGGAGAGAAACCTTAGGAAGGAGGATTGGGGAGGGGGCTTTGCATACTCCTCCGACAGCCCAGAAGAATTGTGTTTTAGCAAAGGGGCCTCAAGTCACACCCTGTAGGCAGTTCTAATCAAACTACAACCTCTAAATATAATTCATGTGAGTGCGTTTTGGAAATTCTTTTTACTTAGCTATGTCTTCAATTATTAAGAATCTTTTGTTGGGGCTTGTATTTATTTTCCTTAAATCTAAAATGGTTATTTCTCAGGGCCAGAAATTTGATGATTTTTCTCTTTAACTTTCCTCTTTCAACTCTTTCTGCCCTGCTTAAGTTGTTAACAATAAGCAGACATGATTTTTACAGAAACAAAAAGGGATCTTTTTTTAAAAATAGGTTGAATATTTTAATGATACATCTCACTTTAATTACACAGGTAATTACAGGTTTGCAGACCTGATCTTACAAAATTGGGTTAAAAGCTAAATATGCAAGATGACAAAAGAGTAGTTTAAAAAAAAAGTCTTAATGTAAACAGCCCTTGAAGCAATATGAAAAATCTACAGATATATTTTGGCCTGAGCGCACCTTGGAGTGCTTAGTTCTTGAAGCACCCTGGGCTGACGAAAAGCCCTTTCAGAGAGCAGTGAAGGTCTGCTGGAGATTGATCTATCATTGAACTATAAGTTTAAGGACTTCTAGATTCATCTTGGAAGATGCACAGAAAATGTTTGGAATAAAAAAAAAAAAATCCAGACAATTCCCAAGACTAAAGCAATGAAATTAATTAAGAGGAGGCCACTGCTGGAAAATAAAGGTTTAATAGAAATTCCCCTAGTAATTATTGTTAAATGTGCAATATAATGCCTAGCACATAGTCAGCCCTCCATAAACATTGGCCAGCATTGTTCTTATTATATACTCCTGCTAAGCCAAAGAAAGAAACTGAGGTGAAATTAATAGAATTTATTTGGGCCAACAGCTTCTCAGGGTATACTTCCAAGTTGCTCTGGGGAGTGTTCCCCTTTGGCCTTTGTTACTAGCAAGGTTTTAAAGGCAAACGGGGGATAGGGAATGGGATGCTACAAAGTTATTGTCAAATTCTCATTGGTTTACAGAAATAACATTGATTAGTGATTGGCTGTACATTAGTGAACTATAGGGTGTATGGCACTTTATGGCTACTTGGCGTCAGTTAGTCTAGAGCCCATATAGCAAGTGGTTTGAAGAGGTAATTGTTTAGCTCAAGAGGGAGTGAGATGTGACTGCTGTCACACGCTATCACGTTTCATTGCCTCTCTGGGCCTGGTAATTAAGGGGGCTCACATTCCTCAGATAAAAAGTTTCTTTTCTTTCTCACTCCTGAAGACTATAACTTCCAAAATGCTCTGAGCCTCTTCTATCCTGCCTCCCTGACTAGCCCCATCACCTTTCTCCTGTGCTGCTTATAAGCAGAGATGAGAACTGGTGGGGAGGGGGACATGCAGCCTCAAGGAGAAGAGGTAGCTGACCCACACATTCTCTTGCTGATACCCCAGGTGCCTAAGTTAGGAGATAGAGTGACTTTGAAGAAGTAAAAGAAAGAGAAGGAGGAGGAGGAAGAAACAGGTCATCTCGATTTTGTTTAGGGAAAGCCTGGGAGTAACACTGGTTGAATCACACAACTGATGTTTATTTGTTTGCTTGTTTGATCTTACCCAGCTTTGTTTTCTGTGATGATTGGTGTTAATTCCTCCCAGATCACAGCATTAAGACTTTTCTTAGTTGCTGCCACTTCATGTTTCAATGAGTTTCACTATTTTCCTATTTTCTTAGCTGTGTTACTGAGAAATTAGAAGAGACATTGTATTATTTTAAACTGGAGATCTCATAAAAAAAATTTCTGAGTGATTCTTTGGGTTGTTTTAGATTTAGATCTGGAAAGATATCACGTGTTGCATCAAAGGGTCCTACACAGTTGATTAAAATACATACAGTATATTGTTTCTCGTGCCTGAAAATTTTCTGAAGCATGTAATGCATATTCAGGAAAAGGATAAATGACTGTGACTAAACAGTAACCAAGTCAAAAATTTTCAGGTAATACTATTCTATCTTAAGAACAATTCTGAGAGCTGACAATATGTGTTACAGTCTTAATGAGTTGAAAATTATTGTGTCATATATTAAGTGAACCATACGCAACTGCTATTTTTGTGGGTCAAAAAAAGAGCTGTATATTGACAATTTCATATGGTTTATCCCAAAAGTTGGATTTTTTTGCCATACATCTATTGAGCACCTACTACGTATAAGACTCTGCTGTGGGATAAAATTGAGGAAGACATTGCCCTTGCTCTCCAAGGAGATGTGGACTACGTCCTTGAGGAAGTTGCCAAGCAAGGTGGCTGTCCGGAGAGAGAACTCGCCAGAGAATACTTTGAGCTGCTCTTAGACAGAGGTGATAGTGACAAGTGGACAAGTGAGATGCAGAGGCATGTGAACATGCGTTATTGAAGCTCAGGGACCCTACAAAATGTGCTGAAGGCAACAGGTACCGTATTTCACAGAGAACAGCCATGACTGCCATGAGAAGAAGTTGCTGGCAGTTGTGTGCTCTGTATGGCAAGGTCACTGGATAATGGCTGCTGGCCAAGCTGTGATTGATGGGGCAGCCAGGAGGATTCACCATCAGTTGGCAGCAGGTGGGCTCTACAGGTCACATCATGGCCTGGCTCTAGTGGAGGGTGGTGACATCAAGGAGTGCTACAAAGGCTACCATCATTGGCCATGGCCAAAGGAACCAGCACTAGAAAAAGGGAGAATATCCTTCTGGGAAGATGGGGCTCCACCCACCCCACAGCAACCCACCCCAGGCATCTAGAGGAAGCAAGAAAATGTTGTCTTTTCATTATAATCCTTCACTCTGAAAAAAAAAATAAACAATTTTCCACAAAAAACAAAAACAAACAAACAAAAAAAACATACTGAGTTTCAAAACCCAAAATCTTAAGGTGATGGCTCAGATCAACCATGGAGTTTTATCTTTAGCAACCTTAGGATTCCCAGTGGAGACTATGAACACAGTACGGTGTATAAATCCAATGGCTAGAGGAAGATTCCTTATGATATAAATCTGCTCAAAGGAAATTTGAAATTGCTTGCGTTTTCTCAGTGAGTATTAATTTACCCTTAATTGTTTTGAGTTTGGCAAAAGGAAGCCATTAAGGAGAGTTAACAAACATCAAAAACTTTTAAAATGTTTACCAGCCTGGACAACATAGGGAGACCCTGTCTCTACAAAATGATTTAAAAAGTTAGCCAGGTATAGAGGTGCGTGCCTGTGGCTCCAGCTATTTGAGAGGGTGAGGCAGGAGCATTGCTTGAGCCCACAAGTTGAGGCTGCAGTGAGCAGCGATTTTGCCACTGCACTCCAGCCCGAGTGACAGAGTGAGATTCTGTCAAAATAACAACAACAAATGAAACAAAAAAACCTTTAAAAATTTTTAAATATCAAAGCAAGGATGTGGTACACTTAGGCATAAAACAAGATTAATTAAATACAATTTAGGTAAATATATGGTAATTTAAGCTAACTAAAAGGGAAGAGGAGATTCTCTTTATTCAACTATAGAATTATCAGTGAAGAAACTTTCATGAGCATCTGTTGAGTTGTTTAATATTAAGCTAGATACACAAATGGAAAATATTACATCCTGTAGTTACAGGGAGGATGATTCCAAACTGAGATGTTGAAAATCCTGAGACAATACAATCATTACTTTCTTACTAAAGAAAATGAGTAATATGGTTTGGCTATGTCCCCACCCCAATCTCATCTTGAATTGCAGCTCCGGTAATTCCCACATGTGATGGAAGGGACCCGGTCGGAGATAATTGAATCACATGGGCAGTTTCTTCCATACTGTTCTCATGGTAATGAATAAGCCTCACAAGATCTGATGTTTTTATAAGGGGAAACCCCTTTCGTTTGTCTCCCATTCTTTCCTCTTGCCTACCACCATGTGAGACATGCCTTTCACCTTCCACCATGATTGTGAGGCCTCACCAGCCACGTGGAACTGTGAATCATTAACCTCTTTCTTTGGTAAATTGCCTAGTCTCAGGTATGTTTTTATCAGCAGTACGACAGCAGACGAATACAGTAAGTTGGTACCTGTAGAGTGGGGTGCTGCTGAAAAGATAAGCTGAAAATGTGGAAGCAACTTTGGAACTAGGTAACAGGCAGAGGCTGGAACAGTTTGGAGTGCTCAGAAGAAAACAGGAAAATGTGGGAAACTGTGGAACTCCCTAGAGACTTGTTGAATGGCTTTGACCAAATTGTTGATCATGATATGGACAATGAAATCCAGGCTGAGGTGGTTTCATATGGAGATGAGGAACTTGTTGGGAACTTGAGCAAAGGTGACCCTTGTTATGTTTTAACAAAGAGATTGGTGGCATTTTGCTCCTGCACTATTGATTTGTGGAGCTTTAAACTCGAGAGAGATAATTTAGGGTATCTGACAGAAGAAATTTCTAAGCAGTAACGCATTCAAGATGTGACTTGAGTGCTGATCAAAGCATTCAGTTTTAAAAGGGAAACAGAGCATAAAAGTTTCTAAAATTTGCAGCCTGACAATGTGATAGAAAAGAAACACTGATTTTCTACAGAGAAATTCAGCCAGCTGCAGAAATTTGCGTAAGTAACAAGGAGCCACATGTTAATCACCAAGACAATGGGGAAAATGTCTCCAGGGCGTGTCAGAGACCTTTGTGGCAGCCCTCCCTTCACAGGCCCTGAGGCCTAGGAGGAAAAAGTGGTTTTCCAGGCCAGACCCAGGGTCCCTCTGTTGTGTGCAGCCTAGGGACATGATGCCCTAAATCCCAGCTTCTCCAGTCATGACTTAAAGGGGCCAAGGTACAGCTTGGACTGTGGCTTCAGAGGGTGCAAGCCCCAACCCTGGGAAACTTCCATGTGGTATTGAGCCTGTGAGTGCACAGAAGTCAAGAACTGGGGTTTGGAAACTCTCGCCTAGATTTCAAAGGATATACGGAAATGCCTGAATGTCCAGACAAAAGTTTTCTGTAGGGATGGGGCCCTCATAAAGAACCTCTACTAGGGCAGCGTGGAATGGAAATGTGGGGTCAGAGCCCCCACACATCAACTGGAGCACTGCCTAGTGGAGCTTTGAGAAGAGGGCCACCATCCTTCAGATCCCAGAATGGTAGATCTACTGACAGCTTGCACCATGAGCCTGGAAAAGCTGCAGACACTCAACACCAGTTTGTGAAAGCAGCCAGGAGGGAGGATGTATCCTGCAAAGCCACAGAGGTGGAGCTGCCCAAGATCATGGGAACCCACCTCTTGCATCAGCATGACCTGGATGTGAAACATGGAGTCAAAGGAGATTATTTTGGAGTTTTAAAATTTGACTGCCCTGCTGGATTTCAGACTTGCATGGGGCCTGTAGCCCCTTTCTTTTGGCCAATTTTTCCCATTTGGAATGGCTGTATTTACCCAATGTCTGTATCCCCATTGTATCTGGGAAGTAACTAACTTGCTTTTGATTTTACAGGCTAGATAGAAGGGACTTGCCTTGCCTCAGATGAGACTTTGGACTGTGGACATTTCAGTAAAGCTGAAATGACTTACGACTTTGGGAGACTGTTGAGAAAGCATGATTGGTTTTGAAATGTGAGGACATGAGATTTTGGAGGATCTAGGGGCAGAATGATATGGGTTGGCTGTGTCCCCACCCAAATCTCATCTTTAATTGTAGCTCCCATAATCCCCCATGTTGTAGGAGAGACCCAGTGGGAGATAATTGAATCATGGGGGAGGTTTCCCCCATATTGTTCTTGTGGTAGTGAATAAGTCTCATGATATCTGATACTTTGATAAGATGAAACTCTTTTCACTTGGCTCTCATTCTCTTCTCTTGCCATCACCATGGTAGACATGTCTTTTGCCTTCTGCCATGATTGTGAGGCCTCCAAAACCACATGAAACTGTGAATCCATTAAACTTCTTTGTTTTGCAAATTGCTCAGTCTCAGGTATGTCCCTATCAGCAGTGTGAAAATGGACCAATACAATGATATTTTTCAAACATGGAAATGTAATCAGTTCATGGATAGCTGCCATGAGGTTCCTTTTATAATCTGGGGGTAAGATAAGAGGAATGTTTTGCAGATAATATTAGTATATCTCTCAAATGTAATCAAGAAAATCAGTGTACTTCTAAAATTCACCAAAAATGAGGCTTCACTGAAATTGAACATGGAAGAATTGATCACTGATGAGTAGATATAGATACAGGCACACATATAGACCCACATAATATACATACACACATATATTATGTATATATGTGTATGTGTATGTATATATATATATATGATGCAAAAATAAAGTCACAATTGAATCTGTTACAAAATGTTTGCCACCAAGTAACATGCTTCAGGTGAGGGGCATAAATTGAATGGTTGCAGGAAACCCTGTTTCTGATGGCCACTAATAGTCTGGTCTCAAACTGACTCAACTGACTAACAAGGGCTCATTAAACTTATAACAGCCAAAATTGTATGTCCTATAATGTAATATACAAAGTAGGCATTCAACAAACATTTGCTATTATTAGCAAACATTAGCTATTATTAACAAACGTTAGCTATTATTAATGAATGTTAGCTGTTATTAGCAATTACGTTTTAAAAGCACACATCATCTCCTGTTGTATAGCTGATGCCCGCTGACATCTGCTTGGTGGCTCCATTTCTTAGGTGTTTTGCCACCTGGAAGGAATACAGCCATGGACACGCTAGTGGTTAGAAAGGTTAATCCCAATATTTCCAGTCCCTTTCCTTCCAGGCACTGTGCTTCCCTGCTCCCTGGAGAGTCGATGTGGCTGCATGCTTTGCTTTGGCTCATGAGCTGTGAGTGGATGTGGCTGTGTTACTACAGGAGAGAATGTAAGTAGCAGCAGGGGACCCTCCAGCATGCTCTCTTTCCCTGCCTCATCAGTCATAGCAACACCAAGCCATCACTTGGAGGACAGCTGCCCTGGGCCTGCTGTGGCCTTTGCATCAGTGAGAACGAAAGCTTTGTTGCTTTGAGTCTCTGAGTGTAGAGCTATCATAGCAGCATAGCCAGGCCTGTTCTGATCGACGCAAACTCCAACAGTTACCAAATTTTAATCTGGGTCTTCTAAGTGTAGTTAATATAAATAGGTTTCCCAAGTCCTCAACAATTTTTGGAGCCATTGAGAACATGAAATGTCTAAATCTTCCAAGCCAAAAAACAGGTCCTGAAACTGCGGAGACCCCACTGGGGTAAAAATCTCAGGAAGAATCAGCCTTGTCTTGTTGTCTTGTCAACATTCCCCAAATGGTGGACCAGGAGGGGTCTGTGGACCTCAGCGCAGGAAAGCCTCCTCACCATGAATAGAGGGAACTACACATTCCCTCTGTCCAGAGCAACTACCCACAATGCAAAGCAGTATCAATCCAGCCCTAAGCTGGGTGCTCTGGGCGGGGCTTGACCCCCGCAATCAAAAAGTTGGTCAAAGTCTACATCATCCTCGATAGCTGTTACAGAGCCCACAACGTACAGTAAACTCGTGTGTGTGTGTGTGTGTGTGTGTGTGTGTGTGTGTACAATCCTGTGCACTAATTTTTATGCAGCCTGAAGCGTGAAAACCACAGGAAGGAAAAAAGGGAACTTTTATATGCACACGTCTGGTTCTTAAATCATATTGTCCCTAGGAAATGATCACATCTTTGCTACAGCTTTTCAAAGAGCCCAGGTCTACTGATAGAAATATGATCATTTACCATACTTTGTGGGCCAGCTAGTTCACTTCCATTTTAAATTTCTACTCCACTCCCACAAAACAGCATGGCAGCCCCAAACAAGCATGCTGAGAAAGGAAGGGAGACCTGTCCTTGACTTGTATCCAGTATCCTGGAGCTCAGGCTCAGCAGGGAGCAGGGCTCTTCTTTATTTCCCTTCATTTTATATTGTTTTCACTTCCCAGAATGTCACCCTAGGAACCCAGGGAAGTCATACAGCTTGGACGGAAAAGAGGGAACAGCTCCCCAAATTGTGGGGAGAATTGGATGAGACTGCACCGTATTGAGAGTTTGAGAAAAGGCTCAAATGTAGTCTACTGCTTGTTAGAAGGAAAGGAGGTACTCAAAAGGTGAGAGAAAGCCACTACTAAATTTCCTTGAGTAGGAGGCAGCTCTTCTCCTCCCATGTCTTGTCCTCCCAAGGCTATATACCTGGGAAGGAATCCCAGGCACTTGGACAAGTGAGGTTCAGAGTTGGCCTCAGCACAGCTAGGGCAGCTCCAGCCTCCTCAGAAGAATGGGAGGAAAACCATTCACTTCTCTTTCCTCTGTTAACTTGCCCTTGTGAGGAGTCATCTGTGGAATAAGCTCCCTTGGGGCAGCTCTCAGTCTTCATGGCTGGGACCCTCCTGAAGAGGCTACTCTGAAGCCTAGAGGGAGAGGAAGAGGAAGATCCTGGAAATGCATTGGAAGTAAACTGTAGAACTGTGAAACACCATCATCAAGTAACTCAAGGAAGATGGGCTTGAGTTCAGTGCTGGGGAAGCCATGGGGCTAATTTTCAGATTAAATGTATCTAAAAAATGCTTAGTTTAATGTTCAATCTGATAGCTGAGATGCACTTCAGCTTCCAGAGAGAGAATAACCAGCCCCATTCTAAACAAATATTCCTCACACATGATTGTCCAGACTTGATCATGAAGGGCAGACTCCACCCTCTTGCTGATCACTCTATAATTAAACTTTCCCTGCCCATCAGGGCAGAAACACTGTGAAAAGCGTTTTGAAGAGTAGGATGATTCTAACCTGACTTGTCTGAAAAGCAATGTCAGGAGTTATGACTTCCTGTGCCTTTGATCTCCTTATCTGAGTCTATCATCTAACAGTGCCAATTAACATTTACAGTTTGTGGTTAGATGCCTTGGAAATGCTTCACTGAGTGTCTCCAGGAGCCCGCGTCAATTATTTACTGGTCTTAACAGGTTTCTCTTTAAGAGTTTGCTCCTTTGGGGTCAGTGCCAATTCAGAGCCCCTGGGTCTGGATTATAATACTTGTTCCCATAGAACTAAACTTGGAAGAAGGAATCATGAATGCTTTGATAGCCATTCCGTAAGACCTCTGCTTCACCTAGTTTGTTTGGTAACTGAACTCGCAGCAGAATTCCCTCATGCCTGCTCCAGACATGGGCAAAACTTGTCCCCTGTTTATTCATGGTAGCAGCTCCACAGTATTCTCACTGGTGAGATGCTACATCCTCCGGCCACAGTCAGCCCCCGGCAGGACCTAGTCCTAGCCCCTGAAGGAAATTTCTTTCTTTTTTTTTTTTTTTTTTTTTTTTGAGACAGAGTTCTGCTCTGTCACCCAAGCTGGAATGCATAACACAATTTCAGCCCACTGCAACCCCCGCCTCCTGGGTTCAAGCAATATTCCTGTCTCAGCCTCCTGAGTAGCTGGGATTATAGGCACGCACAACTACACCTGGCTAATTTTTTGTATTTTTAGTAGAGACAAGGTTTCACCATGCTGACCAGGCTGGTCTTGAACTCCTGACCTTGTGATACACCTGCCTCAGCCTCCCAAAGTGCTGGGATTACAGGCATGAAAATTTTAAAGACATGCCAGAGCATGAAAAAGCAGCTTGATAAGTAACAAGTATGCCACTTGATATTTTATAAGTGGATTCTCTCCTGTGATTTCTTTCCTCCCGCAGTGGTTCTATGAGACAATCAGTGCAGCCCTCAGAGACACAGTGAGGAAACGTACTGTACATTCTTACTGGTAAAAGTGAAGATAAATGACCCCATGTGTGCGCAGGCTAACATTTGGGGCCATTTGGTGGCTTCATCTCACAGGTAGCATGACCCTCACTTTTCCTTCAACATTGGCTTTCTGGATGACCTTTGCTGAACTTGGGGCAGCACACACTTGTGAATGTTAGAAAGTCTCCTTCGGTGTCTGTGAATATGATGAATATCTGTAGCACTCTCTGAACACACACAGCTTCCTGTTAATGAGAAGCAGAAATATGAGACAGGATGTGGTCTTCTCTATCCTGAGTGAGTCAAATTCTGGGCCCTAGTCACTCGGCCACTTCCTGCTACCCTTCTGTCAGAGACCAGGACGTGGAAAACACATTGATAGTTTCCTTTTATAAGTTCAACACAGGGCCTAGCACAGCACTTTGCAGTTTAGTAACAAATAATTCTATGTTTGTTGAATGAATCCAGTGTATAAATTTTTTTAATTGATTACCTGGTAAAAGTTAGGCCTCTTAAGAAGAAAGTTAAGTAAGAATTGTTGTAACATGCTTTATTGATTCTATATGTTTTTGAGTTTCAGCCAACAGTGGGTTTGACAGGAGAAGATGGAGCTCCTGCTAGTGAATGCAGTAGAATCCTTGCTATCATTGGCTTAACCATTCTGAATTTCCACAGACTGCCAGGACACTTTCTCGTTCCATTTTCCTCCATGCAGAAAATCAACCTAATCTACTGTCACCAGGACCACACTGTATCTGCCCAATAAATTCTCTATCCCTGCTGCCAAGATGGAGCCTATTTATCAAGATAGGGGAATTGCGGTAGAGAAAGAGTCTAATACACATAGAGCCAGCCAAATGGGAGAACAGAGTTTTATTATTACTCAAATCAGCCTCCTCCAGAATTTGGAGGCTAGGGTTTTTCAAATATAGTTTGGCAGGCATGGGGCTAAGGAATAGGTTCTACTGATTGGTTGGGCATGCAATTATAGGGGTGTGGAAAATGGTCCACATGCACTGAGTCCACTTCTGGGTGGGGACCATAGGACCAGTTGAGTCAAAAGTCATGGATCCAAGTGGTGCCATCCAGTCCTCAAAAGTGCAAAAGCCTGAAAAGACATCTCAAAAGAGCAATCTCAGATTATACAACACTGATGTAATTGACAGGGATAATCAGGGAAGTTACAAATCTTATGACCTGTGGAATAGTGGCTGGTAATTGTTTAACTATGCCTACATCTTAGTGGAATTCAGGCCCCTCTCATTCTCCTCACCTGGTGACTTTTCATTAGTGTTACAGAGGCAGTTGAGTTTTGGGAAGAACTATTGTCATTTGAACCATAAACTAAATTACTCTCAAAGTTAGCTTGGTCCTTGCTTAGGAATGACCAAGGACAGTTTGGAAGTCAAAGCCAAGATGGAGTTGGTCAGATAAGATTTCTTTTTCTGTCAGAATTTCTCAGTGTTACAATTTTTGCAATGGCGGTTTCAATGCTACAATTTTTGTGAATCCTATTGCCTTTGCAGGTCCCTCCCATAATAATAGATTTTTGGAGACCCTGATATGGGCTAAATTATGTTTCCCAACATTTCATATGTTGAAGCCTTAATCTCCAGTACTTCAGAATGTGACTGTATTTGGTGATGGGGTCTTTAAAGAGGGAACTGAGTCACAAAGAGGACATTCGGGTGAGTCCTGATTCAAAGACTGGTGTCTTTATAAAAAGAAGAAATTCGGATACAAAAATATACACAAAGGGTGCATGTGCACAGAGGATGACTTAAGGAAGAAGCAGCAAGCAAACACCATCCACAAGTCAAGGGGAGGTGTCCCAAGGGAGTGAACGCTGCTGGCACCTGGGTCCTAGACTTCCAGCCTCCAGAATCCTGAGAAAGTACATTTCTGCTGTTTAAGCCACCTTGTCTGTGGTCTTTTGTTCTGGCAGCCCTAGCAAACTAATATCGTTTCTGACATTTATCATTTATTTTTGATGAGAGAAAAAATTAAAACATCTTTCACCCTAAAAGTTCATTTTTTTCTTCTGGTTTTAGAAGAAATTGAAACATTTTTGTGGGCTCCTAAAAGTATCATGGGCTTTGAGCCATGAGCTCCCTGTCCTGATGGAGAAGTTGGCCTTGATGATCATGGGACCACAGAGAACGACTGAATAGTTTTATGATGAAACTCATTTTCCATCCCTATATTCCTCGCAAGTCTCTTTAAACACCAGCTCACATTTTATTATGGCCCAAAGCTAGACCACTGAAATAAAAGACCTTGGCCATTTTATAACCCAGCCTCCTTAGAGAATCTTTGAGGAGTGAGATAATTTAGAAATGCTTTGATAAACACCAACTTAAAAATCAGCCACATAGACCTCAGATAACTCTTCGTAGTCTGAACAATGTCACCTCCAGGTGTCTGTGCCCCAGCAGTGGGTCTTCATGTAAGCCCTTCCCTAAACTAACTTATGCATTTGAAACCAAAATAGGAAATCAGAGGTGGAAATGATTAGCAAGAGGTCACAGATAGTGCTTTATCTTGCATGAAACAATTACATAAATTTTATGTGCAACTTTGCTGAGAATGAGTGTCTATTAATTGGATCAAGAATCTACTTAAGCTCCTGTTTTTACCATGACAGTGGCTCCTGTTTGGCAGGGCCTGGGCAAAATGGGTTTCAAGCAAAAGAAATTCTGTGGGGGAAGGTGGGTTCTTCCAGGATGGGAGGGTGGGTGAGAGCATGTCACGTGGAGGAGAAGGAACCTACAAGGACACAGGGACACGGAACAGGCACATCGGGCAGGGCTGACTCAGGAGTATGAGAAGGGGAGCTAGGACCCAAAGGCAGAAAAGAGTGCTCAGGGAGGGCTTTTGATGCCACCAGGTAAAAGAGCATGAACTTTATCCTTGGGACAAACTAGAGCCATTAAAAGATCTTAAGGAGGAGGAAAAGAGAATTGTTTACATTTGGGAAAGAATATTCTGGGACAAGGTAGAGAGTAGACTAATGTGGTGAATGAGAATAGAACAGAGACCTTATCCGAAGGCCTATTAAGATGGGCCTTGCAGGAGTTGATGGAAACTCTGGCTATTGGTTGGTGATGGTTTTGAGTTTTATTCCTTCTATCTGTCTCTGTGTACAGCTCACCTGATACAAATTTAGCTCAAATGCGTGTTTCGATAATGCTCGGTCAGACTAAGCCAGCCCAAGTAAAGAGCTTCTTTAGGTCTTCGGAAATGTTAATGCCAACAGACCAGGCAAGCCCCTATTTCCTTTTTGAAGGAAACAAATTGGCCAAATTGGGCTGTTGGGGCAGGGAAATGTAAAGATGTGTAGGAGCTGAAAAACCTCTGCAATTTTTGGATGTTTTTATGGTGTCAGTGGCCTGTGACCACGTGCCTGAGACCTAGCCTGGCCTCGCACAAACACCCAGACTGCATGGATCACGGCAAAGAGGTATTTTTTTGTTTTTGTTTTTGCTTTTGTTTCCTGGAAGTGGAATAAAGGTGTACCTGAGGAGAGGCTAGGAGAATAAGAGGGAGTATTATTGTAACCCGCCCAGCTCCTGGAACGTGGCAGGCACATTCTCCAGGCTGAAGGGCAGTATGAGGCACTCCAACTTCCTAAACAGTCTAAAAGGCATTTGTCTTAGTTGGCTAGGCTGCCCTAACAAAATATCACAGAGACTGGGTGGCCTAAACAATAGAAGTTTATCTTCTCACAACTCTGGAGACTGTAAGTCCAAGATCAAGGGGTTGGCAGCATTGGTGCCTGGTGAGGGCTCTCCCCTTAGACTGAAGATGGCCACCTTCTCATCATGTGCCTATATGCCCTCATGACATTTTCTTTGTGCACAAGCAGAGGAGAAGGAGAGGAAGCTTTCTGGTGTCTCTTACAAGGACATTAATCCCATTGGATAAGAACCCACCCTTATGACCTCATTTAATCTTAATTACTTCTTTATTTGAAATACAGTCACATTGGGGGTTAGGGCTGCAACATAGGAGTTTGAGAGGGATATCAGAGTCATAACAATGCCTCTATGTTTCACATCTTTTAACTATGGTCCTTCCAAGCCATCCTGTAGGTCAGGAATTGTCAGTGCTAGACAAGCCAAGTTTCTAAAATCCTTTCTTCCCTGCAATAAAAACTTCAAGGCTCATGCAGGCTATGGGGACCACACTATACCTGCTCTGTCCCCCACTTATCCCATGAATTCAAAGCTGATCTTCACATATCCCGATTCCCAGGAGGTCCTGATGTTTCCCAGAACATACATGTGAACCTGTGTGAAGTGAGCTATTGGCTCCCCAGAGATGTTTACATCCTAATCTCCAAAGCTTATGAATGTGCTGCTTTACACAGCAGATAAGGAACTTTGCTCATAGTGATTTAAGGATATTGAGATGAAGAAATTAACCTGTGTTATTGGGGTGGGCTCACGTAATCACAGAGTCCTTATAAGAGAGAAGCGGGAAGGTCAGAGCTAGAAGAAGAAAATATGAAAAACAGACACAGAGGTGAGGGGCAGGGGGAATCTGAAGATGCAATGGAGTGGCTTTGAAGATGCAGGAAGGGCTCTCCTGCCTAAGAATGCAAGTGGCCTCTGGAAGCCAGAAAGGCAGGGAAGCAGATTCTCCTCTAGAGCCTCCTGAAGGAATATAGCACTGCCATCCTGTTTTAGACTTTTTCCCTTCAGAACTATAATATAATAAATTTTGTTGTTTTAAGTCACAGAATTTGTGACAACTTGTTATAGAAGCAATAGGCAGCCAACACACTGTGTAGAAAATTGCATCTCATCTACACCTGGGCCTGCACAGCTGTCCTTTCTGGTGTGATCCTTCTGCTCGAGGGCCTCTGCGTCCAGCCAGCCCACGACTAAGCTGCCATACTTACAGTTTCTTCATCTTCAACAGGAATTTTATCAGTTCATTGGGAGAGGCTGTATCCGGGGATGCTAGCTCAATGCAATTTTTAAACCAGAAGTACATTACTATTGCAGTTTGATAGATTTTTAATAATTTTCAAAACAAGAATAGTTGCCATGGCAAAATATCATAAATATCACTTAAGCAACTCTCAGAGATGCTATTGCCTAAATAATTAATTGCAACATTGCTGTTTTTGCTGCCCTTAGGTAAACACTGGCTGTATGTGATCTTTTATAAGATGGTTGAATCTACATAACGGGCCACAGTTGTGTTTACTTTTAGTACTTTTAAATATAGGATCCA